AAGACTCACTTGCTGCCTGAAAGAGATCTTTCCATTTGGAGTTTTTGGTCAAATTTGATAGAAAGGATAGTGGAAAAGCGAAAGCAGCTCTTGGAAACCAGCACCAAGGCTAAAATGGTGGAGCTCAAAGCAATAGAACTTTATTGGGCTGCACATGATAAAAAATACAGATTCAGAAAGAAAGAAAAAAAACTTCTACTAGGGCAATCAAGACAGAGAAAGGGAGAGAGCATGCCTATAAGTTTGACTGACGATCTTCCACTTCTCTATATCCAATGCATCCATACCAACATAGAGAAACAGAAAAGTCTCGTGATAAATGACAATGTTGCAAAGGCATGCCTGTGGTCCATCCAATGGTATATTAGTATAAGCATTACCATAGAATACATGATCAAAGGCAAATGTTCACACAGAAGCTATGAAGCTACTTACTTGGTTGTGACCCTGGAACTTTCTGTTACATTGTGCCAGGTATAGTGTGACATTACGATGCCATGAGAAGAACACTGTGAGAATGCCACTCAAATCAAGCAACTACCATAAAAGGCAACCAGTCAATAACAATTTACAGCTGTAATTGCTTTTCTGAAATACACAATATCTACAGAGGTTAAAAGTACAGGATGCTCACTTTGCTAGCATGTAAGATAAATAAGCCATTAGCATCATAATGGAACTTCACGATTGGTTGAGTGCCTTGAGTGCATGTCAAATTAGAGGAATATAAGTTGTGGAAATGTCATAAATTTCAATTAGACAAATCATGTTGTGTCAAGTACAAACCTGCCAAAGTACAACTTCTTAATGATATAAGCACTAAGAAGTCCAGACTGCAGCCAAAACACATGTCAGTAAAGAATAAACTTAGGCAAAGCTAGAGGCGGAAGCAGCATAAAAAAAAAAAAACTTGACTGGGGGGTGGGGGGTGGGGGGGTGTTAAGACTGCCCTTGTGAGCATTTCAAAATAAGAAGAAGGACCTTCTCACCCGGCCGAGAAAACCCCTGCCCCACCCTTACACGGTGGCTTTCCGTCAGCCCAAGTGAGAATTGGGCCGGTGCCCCCCCCTTGCTTTGGTTATGGAGACGATTTAGGATTTTTTTAACCTCAGCCTAAAATTCGCTCCCACGAGTCGAACTCAGGACCTGAGGTGCCTTGAGAAGCGCTTGACCAACTGGCCTAGCGTCCGTTGGCGGAAGCAGCATATAACTTACAGCTACTCAAGAATGGTGCTGGCGCCAACAGATAAAGGAAACTGCCAATAAAGTCCAGTAATTTGGCACCACTGATATTTCAAGATCAAAGTTCTGGATTGCATTGAACAACACAACAGAAGTTGCATCATTGACAACACCTTCACCAAACACGAGGCTGTACAAGAAGGGTGTCTCATCTTGGCTTAACACCTGCAAGGTGCAAACCGAGTCTGTGGCCGAGAATATTGCCCCAAGTGCTGAAATTCAAGATATACAAGAATCAGAGAGAAATAACTGCATATGGGCAATGGAAGTGCTTATACTTTGGGTAATGATCTTACCGAGATAGTCTCCAAGCTCAAGTGCGCCAATATTAAGCCTTGATACTAGTCCTAGAGCGCCTGTGAGATCAAATGTGAGTTAAGGCAGGCAGAAACCCAGAAACTGACAATCATGGTAAAAATGAAATTTGGGAGCAAACCTACCAAGGGATATCACAGTAAAGAGATCAAGGTGCCAACTGCACCAAACAGTGTAATAGTAATGAAGTTTCAAAGAACTGTTTCTTCTTCACTTGGAACCTGGCTTACACGGGAAAAAACGAGAATTGTGAGTGAGTTATACATATAGGTTCTTAGTGCTAAATATTCAGTAAATTATACATGGCACATATCATCTACACTCTTAATGCAAAAACTCAGTGAATAATTGCAGATTTATATTTAATAGTACACCATAGTTGCTTTGCTACTGAAGTGTTTAGAAGAGGGAATGTTTTTTGGATTTTAGCTCAGAAAGCTCCAAAGAGAGAACTTATCGAAAGAGGTCCTAAAACAGTAACCAAATACATGTAATGCTCCTGTGTTAAGTTTTTTTAAACATAAGCGGCTGGAGCTCCATGCTTTCAATTAAGGATGCTCCCGTGTTAATTAGAAGGAAAAGAAAGGGGGAAATTCCAAGCACAGGGATGGCAGCAACAGCTCTCTTGAACTAAAAATCTTATTAAATTAAAGTCATAGCAAATTTCTCAGTCACCAATGTGTCGCCCAGCTCAACTTCTTAACTGTCAGAATATTCTTTATTTGTCCTTTATGTAGGAAAAGCTGATAAATTTGTGACAGCAATCCTTTATGTAGGAAAACTGATAAATTGTAACAACGAATAAAATAATGGCCTCCATAACGCTAGAACGTAGCATCAATTGCACGAATTCCATACCCTGCATTAAATATGATGGGCGGCAGCAGGTAAATAAAGAAGAGGTCCTCGCTGAACTGGAGCACGCGCGAGTGCTTCCCGCTGGACGCCAACAGGATCACCGCTCCAGTTCCCAGCCCCTGCAAAGCCACACGCATCAAACAGGCCACAATTACCTTCAATTCTCAATAGACAACATTGCAATACCAAGATCCCGAGTACAGAAAAAAAAAAGCATGAACTCAGGGCAAAAGCGAAAAAAAGGGGGCGCGGTTGGACTTACGATGAAGAGCGCGGTGATGGACTCGTTCATCCAGCGGTTCTCCTCGAGGAGGTGGCCGACAATGATGCAGACGCACATGAGCGCCACGAACAGCCCCACCGCCGCGATGGAGGCGTAGTCCGCCGGCGGGTCGCCCAGCGCCATCGCAGCCCCCAGCCCCATCGTCCTACCTCTCTCGGCCTGCTCACAGCTCCACTAATCACCCCCAACCCTAGTAGCTTTACCACCGCCGCCGCTAAACACTCGATTCCCCCTCGGCTTGCCTTCCAAGCAAGGCCGCCGCCCGCACGCAACCCGCTAGGCGGAAACAAAAGGTCCCACCCAGCCCGGATTGTGTACGAGGAGAGAAAGGGCAATGGATCTGCTATGCCGCCGGAATTGACGAAATCCGGCGCCTCTACGCGTGCCCGTGGTCAGGACTCTGGAGTCTGCAAGCGGGGGTGGACTGTGTGTGGAGGGGAAATCAGCGGCAATGACGGAAGACGGATCCGGATGCGGAGATCCCGGCGCGGGCGGCGGGTATCGGAGGGAACCTCCGCGAGGCGGTTCTCCTCCGATTCGGGGACGGGGAGGGTTTATCGGCGGGACTGGGGGCGGGTGGCGCCGACTGAGGCGGTTTTCCAGACAGAACAGTAGTAGTCGTAGGCGAGGAGGAGATACGATTCGAACGGGATTTCTGCGGAAATTAATAAACAAACAAAATATCCTATAGTTTTCCTTTTTCGGATTCCAGAAGTGACGGGGGAGGTGACGACCGGACGGGTTGGGGTTGGTGGCCACGTGCCGGTCGCACGGGGGGGCGGTTGCGGCTGCTACCGCGCGGCACGGGGGGAGTGGCCAAGTGGGGAACACGTGGGGGCCAGGCAGCGCTACGAGTTGGGCCCACCGGGCAGTAGGTCGCTCTCGGACGCTCTGTTAACCTGGGGCCCACGCGGGCCACTGGGTTCGCGCGGCCCTACGCGTCATTGGCTGGCCCGGGCGGCGCGTTCCGCGGCGGGGGGACCCAGGTGGCGGTGGGCCGTTCGTGCGTCCGAAGCTCTGGGAAATATTCCCTCGCCGGCGGCGGTCGCCGGAGACGGAAGGGGCCTCGGCGCCGGTGGAGGCTGCGCCAATTTTTGCCCGGCCGGATCGCAGGTGAGAGGCTCTGGATTCCGCGGAACTGTTTAACTTTCTCCCCAATTTGGCCATTTTCTTATCCCCGCGCGGTCTTTGATAAGTGGAGAAGCCAGCGCGAGGGATGGATGGGCGCATGGACACCCTGGTGTCCAATCCCGAGACATGGCGTCGATTATTGTGGTTGTGCTTGTCCCTGATGATGCGCTCAGCTCGCTTCTTTGGGAGGCTTGTGGATGTGGTGTAGTTTGATCTGGATTTGGGAGAGGGCAAACGGTACAGCGAAAGGTTGCTTGCACTGCCAGGAGGATCAAGGAACTTGCCTAGTGCCTAGGATCTGCGACTGGCTTATTAGTTATTTATTATAGGTGTTGAACATGATACTGAGGCTTCCTCTTAAATATTCATACATCTCTGTCTCGTCTGTCTGGCTCAGATGATTGGGTCTGTCTGGATTCTGGAGCTCTGGGCCACTACATTATCCTTTATTAAGTTTCCTTTGCTGCTGCTCCAAATTTCATCAGAAGAACCATTCTTGGTGCAAAACCAGTTGAGTACTGACTCTGTGGTTCGCGCAATGTTCAGGCTAGGATTTGCTGTTCTAGTGTTTGGAGGTAGTGTTCTGTTCTGCTTAGTTTCTGAATATTCAGAATGTTGTAGCAGCACTTGAAACTTGGCATTTTTGCCTCAACTTTGACTCCTATATAGTCTATAGATTCAATTTGTTACTCAAAGCCATCAGAATTGACATTTGTCGAGATAAAGACAAGAATTGGCGTCAGTCACGGATGGCTTGTCAGTGAGGCCAACTGGTGTATAGTCAGCTACTCGGCTTATTCATGTGACAAACAAAAAGATTCCTGTGTGACTCCCACTATAATCCATCCCTGAACATTAGAATATCTTTCAGTGAGATACCACATTGGAACTTGAGTTCACCCTCGTTTCTTTTCTTTTGCCTTGCCATTGCAGCCTGTTTCATAGAAAACAATGTACATTTCAGTATAGTACTCCTTTCTTTTAGAAAAAAAAGTACTCTTTTACTGATTGGTTGGTTTCCTAGCTGCAGTTCCATGGATGGAGTTGCAATTTACAGAAGCAGGGAAGTCAGGCCATTACCAAGGTATGTGGGCAGCTTATTTTGTCATCTGATTCAGGAGGACTGCGAATGCAAGAGGTGGGATGGTGGATCATGATTAAATGGGTCTTTTACTGGAGTTGGTAATTTCTGAAGAGTCTGGATCCTAGGACATACATCACCTTCTTTTGTTTCTATGGGGCTGAAAAAATACTTGTCCTGCCAACGTGTGGATAATTTAATGTATCTCTAAACAAGTAGGGACAATTTTGCGATCCCTATGCTCCAATTCACACAGACAAGTTGTAGCTGCATTAAATGCCTTTTTTTTTCTGATCAAGCACAGTGGTTGATCATTTGTGTGGATTGCAATTACTTGTGAATCATGCATCATGGTTAGTCATTGTTCTGAATGGCTAAAATCTTAGTAATTTGTTAGTTTGCTTTTGCCATTTGGCAAACTATATCTGGGGAAATTAGTTTTGGATCTTTGTAGCAACAAACATGTCAAAAAAGCATATGAAGCTAGATTGCTAGAATGTAGTTGCATTTCCTATTTTATAATAATGAGACGGGTGTTTTTTGAACCCACAGCACAATGGATTACTGTCTGTCCTCTGTTACTTCTAATTTTATCCACTAGAACCTCTGAAGTCTGAACTGTGGTGTACAAAATATTATGTACTTTCGTAGATGAAGAAACGCAGAATTCATTTCAGAATGCTATATTTATGATACATTAGGATTTTCTTCTTCAAAAATTCCAAATTCAATGCAACCAGAAGCATTAGTAAGTCCAATTACAATTGCATTTCCATTTACCATATTCCATATTCCTCACATCATTTTGCCCTTCCATGTCAAACCAAAAACAAAAGACGAAGGGCCTCCAATAGTTACAGCAGTCAAGAACTTTCACAAAAACCACAAACAACTTACAGAATCCTTTCGCCACTAAAACAAGTTAAAATCAGAACTGTCCAATCGGTATTTATGTAAGGCTATGTTAGGCTAGACATCCTTCTCCTGTGCTGATGTAGGGGTGCTCTTTGAACCGGCCTGGAGCCAAAGCTTTCCCTCTGACGTGGTGCTGATGCAGCTGTCGAGTCGATGCTGTTGTTACTCATGTTGATCTGATCAGACATGGCTGGCAAGCACTTCATCTTGGGCACACTGGATGAGAATGCCACTGACCTAGCCTTGGCTGCATTCTTGCAGCTTGAATAGCTGAATGACTGGCTCCCGTTCAGCTCAGCTGGATATCTGTTTACTGACTTTGTCAGCCTCGGCTTACTAACAAAATGGCTTCCCGCACTATGTCTTTGCCGGCTGCACACTGTTGAAGACATGAAGTGAGGAGCTGAACCATGAGATAGCCTGCTCTTTGCCTTCTCTGTTGCGTGTGGGCTCTCTGTGACATCAATGTGGCCTACCACTAGAGTGCTTCTTGGTGATCCCTTCTCATCACTAAGAGCCTGACAAACAGATGAAGTGAGCTTCTTCTTCTCTTCAAGTGAGATCTCTGCTCTCCTTATTTGTTCATTGAGATACTTTAACTCTTCCTCAGCATTGCATATTTCCTTGTCAAGCTCTGTGAGCCGCTTCTGCTTCAACATTTTCAGATCCTACATCAGAAATGAGCACCTTTAAATATAACAAAACTTTGCCATGGTGGTAGCAATTGCTCGTTCCATTGTATACTTACTTCTGGAATTTCTCTATTTGATTCGATTGATCTGGCTCGTTTCGCAAAGTTCAGGGAACAGACCGTCTCACCAACATCGTCCTCAGAAAGGCTGATGTGCACCACCATTAGAACTTTCGAACCGTCACCTGTTATTTAGATATTCAACAGTTAAATATTAGATTATCTTGTTTCCAGTGGTTATGTTTTTTTAAAACTTCAAATCATGCAAAAGATGTTGCATACCAAGCGAGTCACTGAGAATCTGGGTAAGCTTGCTGTTTCTGCACATGTTAAAAAAGATATGAATATAGACGACAGCACTGATGAATGACTCAATGTGATTGAAATGTTGGAGGTTTTTGACCGTAGCAAACCATTAGAAATTTATTTGGTAATTAAGATAACCGAATAATCAGCTGTTACCTGTAAGGAACATGACTCCTCTTTCTCCTAAGTGCAGCAATGACATCTCCAAGTGCTGATAGGGAGAGGTTTATGGCCCTGCCCTCATCCATTGTCAACCCAGATGCACCAGTCTTCAGCAACCGTCGCTGCCACCAAGATCGATGAGCCAGAGCTTGCTGACTTCTTCAGTGGCTCCACGCCTCCTTATGGTAATCCTTGTCAAGCTACACATAGACAGAGCTAAGGCACATAAAATTGGGCACTGCTCAAATTAGCAAAACAGCAGCAATTGAAAGTTGGTAATGGGAACAGATTGTCAACCCACCAATGCGACCCGGCTCGAGACATCATTGACATTTGTCCAAGATGTTGATCGGGCTCGCCGTCCTCTACAGTACCACTGGTTGGCTTTCTTCAGGTCTGGTATTGAGACATCCGTCAGCCCTCAACTTCCACAGCACCACTTTTTGTTGCTAGTATGCTGAGATTACTGAAGTATACAAAGAAAATGGGCATACAAATTTCCATATTGATTAGTGGTGATCTTTCTTCATGATTTACTGATGAACTTTCTCTTGAAAAGAATTACAGGTGAACTGATAGTCTTACCATGCTGTGTTACATTCTGTTGACCTGAAGAGAGGCTGCCTTGGTGCCAACAAGTCCTTGAGACTCCCCAAGTAGACCTCAAGCATGCTTATGGAGAAAGAGTATGTGGATGAACTGTCTTCTGAAGCATGAGAAAACAGTTCTTGGATAGCTCGAGGCACAATACCTAGTTTACCGTCAGTTCCTTCCTGCAATCAGTTGTACCATCATTTATCAGAACTACCGCAGAATGCTGAGCGGAATACAGACTTGTCATAAATTTAGCTCAAATCTGTACAGAACAAGCACCAACCAACCATTGTGTAGGTTTTTCCTGTCCCAGTCTGGCCATAAGCGAGGATGCAGACATTGTGTCCGTCAAGTGCAGATCTGAGGATCGGTTTTACTTCTTGAAAACATCCTCTGCATGGACCACACTGAAATGAATCATACTGCCAAAAAGACAAACCTACAAGTGAGTAAGCAAAAAAAATTACCTTGTGTGGACTCCTGACCAAAAACCCTATCCACACTGAACTCTTTCTTGATCCCAACTGACTTGACTGCAATCTTCTCTTGTTCAACAGTAACTGGTGATTTGGCATTCAAGTTGTTCGTTTGGACCAGCAGCGGTACTCGACAGAAGACCCTAATACTTCCTGAATGTCGCCCAGCCTCTGAAGTTCAGATCGTTGGAAATTCAAGCGCTAACAACTGCTATCTAGAATTGAAGACTGTACCTTTCAGGTCAATGAGCTTGTCGAGCGCCTCCCGCCTTCTCCTGTCAAGATGTCGCTGCCTTGATTGCAGAGTCAAAATCTCCTCTGAAACAAACATGGGGATTGAGATAGTTCCATGAGGTGCCGATGCAAAGTCACAATCACTTAAGCAGGCGATTAACAACAGGTGAAATCTGTTTTTTTTCCTACCTTGCAGAGCTGAGGTGTCCTTGTTGTAGCCCACTACACTTTCCCCATCCGGGAGCTCCAGGCTCAAGCTCTGCAATGGCACCATCACATGCCCCGCCATAGCTTCCTTCTCCATGCGATGGAACCAAGAGCTCTTCTTCTCCGGACAAGCTGATCGCTGGTCAGAGAAGAAGCCTCTCAGCCTACCTGCTGCACAGTTCATCTGTTGGTTGGTTTTCCCTCCCAACGGAACTGAAAAGAGGCAACTGCTATCAGCGTGGCCGTGTAAAGGACGGAATCTGAAACTACTCATCAGGACAAGAAAAGAATGGACAGAGCAGAAGGAATCTATTCCTGCACTTTCCATGATTAGCCTGCGCTTCTGCACGGCTGGAAAGAACAGTAACGAACTTCTCCAATACCTTGTGATTATTGCATCTGCAAGCCTTCGGATCCCTTAATCTCCCTTTTCAATACAGCCTCTGCAGAGCGCAAGAAAACAAGGATTTCAGAAAATGTTAAGAGTTAAGCTGAGGATTGAGGATTCCATCATAAACAAAAAGAAGCTCGAATAAGAGAAATTGCATTGGCACCTCGTGGAAATAATCCCCTGCTTCCTGAATTTGTTCTTGTACTTGAACAGATGCCAGAGCAGGAACAGCTATGGATGAGCCGAGGAGGAGTGCTGAAGGAGTGAGACAACACGCAAGAGGAGAATTGAAGGAGTGAGCCAACGGCCAAGCAGAGAATCTCTGCAATGCAGACAGCTCCTAATGATTGCGTCCCGAGACTCTTTTGCTCCTGATCTTCTTGGATCTCGATGCCGAAAGCTGGGGCCGTGGGAGTGGCAGCAATTGCTAAAGTCCAAAGCTTGGAGCCAGCGAACAGCTGTAAACGAAGAAGATGAAGAATCCTCTCTCTCAAGCCAGCAATGGCGCAAAGCAGAGCTATTATAGCAGAAAGGCGACGCACACCACACTGGAAAGCCTCGAAAGGGATCTTCGCAGTATCGCACAAGGAAACCAGCAAAGGGAAGGAGTTGGGATCACAGCATGTGACCGGACCCTATGGCGTCAGAATAGGTGAGCGGTGCATGGCAATGGCAGTCCCACGCTCCCACTGCAGCCAGGCAAGAACTGGATTAGCAAAAGAGTTTGGTGGCGTGGAGGTGGAGGTTGCCTGGATTCAGAAGATCCAGGGCGCGGGGGGCGTGGGCCGGCAGCCCCCACCACTCGTAGAAAACCAAGCGGGAGCGCAGATGGTGGGGAGGGGCGGGGCCGCGGGGGCCCGGATCATCTGTGGTGGACACTGGACAGTGAGTCGCACAGCAGCTTTTGTCAAATTCTCTCGAGCTGCATTTGCTGTGCTGTCTGCTTGGTTTGTGCTTTTGCTGTGTTCGGAATTTTGCCGAGTTTTGTTGATTTTTTCGTTCTATCGGTAATTTCGGTTCTATTTGACAATATTGGTTCACATTTTATAAACTTTAACCAAAATTTTAAAATTTTGGTACAAATTTTGGTGATTTTCGGTGCTACCGGTCTCCTCTGGTATTTGTGTCTCTACCGCTTGGTCGAACCATACAACACTTCGATACAACTTAGACTCCATTCGGTATGACTTTTACGTCTCCTTACTATAGTCTATAGTGCACATACGAGTGTCGGCACGAACTTTTGTCCCGTGTTGGGCACACGAGCAAGCCGGAAGGATCTGCTCGATGGAGCTGGAGATCCGCCTATCTTCAACGCATGGATTATCGATCCTGCGCACTTCTTCTGAGACGTGCCAGTCAATTTAACCCTGCAAAAGCTAATTAGTAATTTAAGGCGAAACATGCCGGTGTTGCCAGACAGTCCCGAATGTGCGGCTCTGAGAGCTGATATGGAAGGAAATCGACTAAATAGCCGATTCTAGCATACTCATAAGAATAAATCAGTTAAAACTCATGGGGTTATGGAAGAAAAAATCGGTTATCATTCAGGATGAACATTATTTAGACAGAAATTAGTCAATGGCAATAAGATGTCAACACTACTTAGTTTACACTAAGCCAATGACTGCAAATGACTGCAAGTAACCGAATTCCCTTTTTATATAAAAGAAACAGTTCATTACCATTTAACCATTTAATAAAGATAAATCTAATGAACATATTAGATTTTATCTATCGCTATGATCAATGGGACATGAGGCAGAATCATGCAGGTCGTAGAAACAACAATAGATTTGACGACCCTAACTTATTATTAATATCAGTAGGGCATGAGGCAGAATCATGCAGGCCATAATACAATAATAAGATTATGGGGCTAACACATCTTTCAACCTATCTTTACTTCAACGGTCTCGTGACGTGAACTGCATATGTGAAAGCACTCGATATCGGCTAAAACAGTCGATTCAGGCATAGCGCACAATTAAGGTCATGCTCTATCAGGAACAGATCTACCAAATAACGATCCTCACTCCACGGTGCTAACAGTGGAGTGTGAGGCAGAATCACACAGGTCGTGATAACAGGCCATGGAACGGTTTTCGTTAGCCAATAGATCTATTCAAGACCAGACACGCCTTAACCACACGCTATGCACGATCAAGATTAATATAAAACAGCCGATAAAACATAATTTATCGTTTAAAGTGCAGATTAGATCAGTTTAGATTAATAAACGATAGGTTAAACAGGATATAAGGCCGATCTAGATCAATCCCAATCGGGCGAAGTGATATTGCTATAATTAAATAAATAATGAAAGCAATAAACAATATCGGTAACTTAATGAATATATCCAAAGGACGTCACCTTTAGATAGAGCCAATAACTTGACCTTAATCTAGTCCGAGCAGTGGAGGTCGACCGGATCGATGCAGCCGTACTTGAACTAAATAAGAGTCGATAACTAGCTTATACCAGAGTCGCAGTGGAGGTCGACCGGATCGATGCAGCCATACGAACAGAAGTATAACCCATGACGGTACTTATAGATAAGCCGGAGGTCGGCCGGACCGATGCAACCCTGCTCGCTGAAGAACTCGCCGAGATCTACTCTACTCCTACTCCTAAGGGGTGGCCGGAGCCGAAAAAAAGTAAGGAACTTGTATTTGATTGATTGTGTGTCCTTTATAATATCTGGGGACTAATATTTATATCCGGAACCTACGCATGAATCCTACTTAAGCACGACTCATTACAATTTTTTGGTCTAAGAGAAAACATTCCTAATTTAAGATAACTTGGACCCTAATCTTTCCCTTTTTGTAGAGTGCAGCATGATTTTCCCGGCGTTGATCGTAGCTTTTGTCGTTATCTGCTGGCGCTATCTGAAGAAAGCTGATTCCAGTGCTGCATTCGAATCAGCTGATACCGACCTTCATGCAATCGATTCCTTGATGACATGATCTCAGGAGCTTTCGAGTCCCTGTAATTCTTCTTTCAAATTTTGGTGTAAACACATGCCCCCAAATTTTTGGATAAAAATAATTTTATTTCAAAATTATCGCGTCTGTATTCCCGATAGGTCCACAGTCACGGGTAGAGAATCTTGATCTGGGGTCTACTGTTTGTCACCGTCTATGTCAACTCATGAGCTCATGCTTCAAAACTTTTACGAGAGCATCATTGCTTCACGGGCGCTTGGATCCATCTTTCTAGGCTGACTATAAAATGCCTATCCGACTCTGGCAAGAGTAATTCAACAACTCAGCTATGTTTCTCTTCTATCTGCTTCCTCGAGTGCCTCTGACTCCGCCTGACCCTCCATAGTCTATCTTTTTGCCATGAAGATCTTGAGTGGTTAGATGAATTCTTGTGCATAGGGTGGTTGTGTCGCTCATTTTAGCGCCTTGTCGAGCAAGAGGATCGGCTACTGCGGTTAGAAGAATTCTTGTGATATCACCTGAGTTTTCTCTCCATGCTCGTAGAGCTGTTCTAGTGTTTGCAATGGCTAAAATGTGTGGACACCTTCCCCTTGTTTGTTCCATCAAACGCCCATCGGGAAAGCCATAGGCTTCTTTCCCACAGTTTCCCAGTCACCGAGAAATCAGCTGGGCATCTGTTAGGCGGGCGGCCTTTCCCCTTCTCTTGGCATAATTTTATTAACGGGCCGATGTGACTCGGTTCACGATGACCTTCGGTCTTGTGGGGACCCAGACTCCCTTCAATCCAAAGAAGCCTTGGTGGGTTGATCGCTGGTCAATGTAAACCTTTCGTATCCATCCCATGATATTTTGTGATTATAGGAAGCAATAAGTTCGAATCTGTTATTTCTTTGTTATTCGTCTCCTAAATTTCCGGAGTGTCCATCCGTTTCCGTATCTGACTTCAATTCCATACCCCCGGCGAAATCTATCTTCTCACCTTCCCGGGCTATATATACGGGCCACGGCTGTGGATCGAAAAACAACCCGCTTCGTCTCAAATCTCTTGCGTCTTTAGTGTAGTTCTTGCTTTCCCATAGGTTTGAGATCATGGAGAACAGCAAGAGGTCTACTGTGGAGGCCCTCAACAGATCTACATCATCACGCCAGCGCCTTCATCGCCAAGAGGGTGCAACTCGGGATGCTCCCATCGTTCCAGAGCAGAGGGCCAACTCTGCTCAGCCTTTGGGGTCATCTTCAGCACCAATTCACCGCCAACTCCCCCGCTATCCGAGGAGGCGCATCGACAATGATGATCTGCTGACCTCCATCGATCGGACTGATAAGAATCTAGCCAACTGTCTCTCCCTCGCATAATCGACTCTGGCCATGATTTAAGGCCAATCACCCCCTGAGGCCAACCCAGTGGGGGAAAGGTTGGCCAGGGCTGAAGCCAGAATCATAGGTGAGACGTCTACCATAATTTTCTGTCTCTTCTTAATTTTGCCTTCAAGATTTCTGATCATTCCTTCCTTAAATCTTTTAGATCTAACTGCTCAATTAGAAAGCCTTCGATCAGCTGCGGAGCACGCGGTGGGATTTGTCAATGCTAGGGGCCCCGTTCCGGTGGTTCGCTTGCATGACATCCCGAACTATGTCATGGAGGTCGCTCTTCATGGCGTTCGTCATGGTGCTGCCATGGCGTTGGCTGCTGCACAAGCCCGCTCTGGCCATGATCTTCGGCTTCTTCCCCATGATTTTCTAGCCACCAAACGTCCT